AAAAAAAAAAAAACAAACAAACAAGAAAAAAGAAATGCCCCCAGGGATGTTCCTGTGCGTCTGCACAGAGTAAGGGAGTAGCTTCCAAGCCACACGGTACTGCCTGGCTAGAAGGGTAAGCCACCGAATTTTTGAGGACCGTTTGTTATAGCAGCTAAACCAACAGAAAATAAAACAAAGAGACTCCTCCATCACCATCTTACTGATAAAGAAACAGGTCCAGAAATGTGAAGGGACTTGCCAAAGATCACACTAGTGGCAGAGTTGGGCAAACCCAACTCTCCTTATTACTAGTCCCAAGTTTATTTCATTGTATCTTTTATTGGGGGAATAAAGCTTCTCATCACTGGAGGTGTGCAAGCAGAGATTAGATATAAAATGGAATTTAAGGCAGTGAAATCATATTTGGACTAGGCAACAATGCAGGCCCTGTCAGGGACACTAAACCAGAGCCATCGCCTTAGGCACTGGGCTACTTGGCTTCAGGGGCAAGGAACATGGCGGTTAAGCCTTCAGGAGCTCAGGTCTGGCTTGTTTTTGTCATTGGAACAGCCCTGAGAAGATGCTGCTGGGAAAAGCCTCCTGGAATTTTACTTAGACAAAGGATAGGTTCAGGAGCCACCCAGAATTTTCTAAGGACATTGTGCAGAGGGTCATGCTTAAATCCTTTATCAGAAGCTATGCTTAGCAAATCTCTGGCTCCAAATTTTAAAAAATAAGAATAAAAAAAACCAAACCTGTTGCTGTCAAGTCAATTCTGACTCATAGCGACCCTATAACTGTCCCATAGGGTTTCCAAGGAGCAGCTAGTGGATTCGAACTGCCCACCTTCACCACTGTGCCACCAAGAGTTTATCCTGTTTTTTAAGGCTCTTAAGTGTCCATAGCAATCCTCACCAGAGAGAGAGAAATTTGCCCTCTTACTTAGATTCGTCCAGCCCATTTCCCCTTGCTTAGCCCTTAGAAAGAAAGCCCCAACCTTTTTATGTTTGACGGCTGTTATCAAGTTTCATCTTGGGCCTCTTTTTTCTAGGCTAGATAATCTTAGTTCTCTTAACTTTTTCTTCCTGGCTTTAATTTCTAACCCTGTAATTACTTTTAGAGCTCTCCTCTGAACACTTTCCAAGTCTTCATCATCATCATCAAAAAGAATTTATTGAATGTCACCTGAGCAGAGCGTTAGGCCAGCTTCTGGTTTCCTTAAGCTGTGGAGCTCCAAGTGGGCCCAAGGAGTGCAGTCTGAGTGAAGTCAGGGCTAGTCCACCAGTGTGTCTGTTACCCCAGTGCCAAGTAAGTGGGTACTCAGATCCTCATTGCGATATTGGCTTTCCTGGAGCCCCAACCTTAGCCCCAGCTCCCTGGCTGCAAAAGTACTGGCATGGGACAGCAAGAGACATGGGATCTCATCTTGATTTCACCTTAAGCAAGTCACACTGCATTTTTTTGATCCTCAGCTTTTTCATCTGTAAAATGATGATTAAATTTCCTACAATGCCTTCCTCAAAGTTTTTAAAAATGATTATCAGAGGCAATTTTATATATTAGAGAGCTTTGTAAATACCAATAATCACACCATATACAAAAATTGACACAAAATGGATCATAGACTTAACTGTAAAATTAAAACTATAAAACTTCTAGAAGAAAGCATAGGAGAAAATCTTTTAGACCTTTGGTTAGACAAAGATTTCATAGATATTCATAAAAAGCATGATCCATAAAAGGAAAAAAATGGTTAAATAGACTTCATAAAAATTAAAAACGTCTAGCTTAGGGGGCAGTGAGTTTCTGTTAATGGTGGTGGGATAATTTAGAAAAAGATAGTGGTGATGGTTGCACAACATGATGAACATAATCAATGTCACTGAATTGTACATGTAAAAATTGCTGAATTGGCAAATGTTCTTTTATGTATATATATATATAATCTCAATTTAAAAAACTAGAAATTTCTGTTCTTTGAAGAGGGCACAGGTGGTTCAGTGGTAGAATTCTCGTCTTCCACGTGGGAGACCCTGGTTGGATTCCTGGCCAAGGCACCTCACGAGCAGCCACCATCTATCTGTTGTTGGAGGCTTGCATACTGCTATGATGCTGAACAGATTTCAGCAAAGCTTCTAGACTAAGACTAGGAAGAAAGGCCTGGTGATCTATTTCTGAAAATCAGCCAATGAGAACCTCATGGATCATAACTGTCCGATCCCTAACTGATAATTGGGATGGTGCAGGACCAGGCAGCATTCCATTCTGTTGTGCATGACATTGCCATGAGTTAGGGGATGATTTGATGGCAGCCAACAACAACAACAACAATAGCTCTTCAAAAGACACTGTTAAGAAATAGAAAAGACAAGCCACAGACTAGGAAAAATATTTGCAAAACACATATCTGATGAAAGACTTGCATCCAGAATACGAGTAAGAGTTGACTCTCACAAACAAATAAGAAAGTAAACAGACCAATTTTTTAAATGGGCAAAAGTCTTGAAAAGACATCTCCTCTCTCTCACATAATATGAATGGCAATTAAGCACATGAAAAAAGCTCAACACCATTAATCATTCAAGAAATGTAAATTAAAACCACAACAAGATACCCTTACACACCCATTAACAAGACTTTTAAAAAACTGACAATATCTAGTACTTTGGAAAACAGTTTGATGGCTTCTTATAAAGCTAAACATACACTTACCATACATCTCACTCTTAGGCATTTACCCAAGATAAACGAAAACTTATATTCACACAAAAACCTGTACCCACATGTTTATAGCAGCTTTTCTTCACAATCACCAAAAAACTGACAGCAACCCAAATATACTTTAACTGATGAATGGATAAACAAACAGGATACATCAATACAATGGAATAAAACTCAGCAATAAACAGGAATGAACTATTGATAAGGCAACAACTAGGATAATTCTCAAAGGCATTATACTAAGTGAAAGAAGCCAGACTCAAATGATTCCATTTATATGAAATTCTGGAAAAGACAAAACTGTGGGGACAGAAAAACAGATCAGCGGGTGCTGGGAAGAGTAGTGGGAGAAGATCGATTACAGAGGGGCACAAGGGAACTTTCTGGGGTAATGGAAATTTATATGTCTTAACTATGGTTATGGTATACTTTTGTCAAAATTCATAGAACTGAGCAGATAAAAAGGGTGAATATTACCATACGCAAATTATACTTCAATAAATCTAATGTTATAAAAAAGGGGAAGAGACAAGAAAGCATGAAGTGTCAGTGAAAGATCTTGTTTATGATGCATATATTTTTATTCTGGCCAGATTTCCAAGAAAAGAGCCCCAATGAAAAAAGGAAAAAAATATTTAAATCTAGTAAATCATCTTACTGCCATTCTATCAATATGGCTCTTCTGAATATCTATGACACAACACAAACTGGTGATTAGGCTTGTAAGCTACTTTTGTACAGTCAAGGGAAGTTTAAATATTTGATATAGTTTTTAAAAATTAATCTATTGTTTTGTTTTTTACTTTTAGATTTTGAAATAATTATAAATTCACTAGAAATTGAACATAGTCCCAAGGGATCCCATGTACCCTTCACTAAGTTTCTGGTTACATCTTACATAACTATAGTACAATGTCAAAACCAGAAAATTTACATTGGTACAATGAGTATGTATAG